CGAGAGCAAGTCTCGACACGTTTACTCTCAGACAGTTGAGCTATGCTCTCCGACAGTCAAGCTCAGGGGCAGTGTCCACCCGCCAGAGATACTCTCGAGAGCAACTCGCGACAGTTTCACGTTCAAAAGGACTCTTAGCTTCATATTTGGCTCGATGTACATTCAACGACTCTGGCTCGCGTTTCTTATGTTGGCTCGCAAAAAAAAAATATCACGAATCTCACGCGATGTTATGATACGAAAGGTTAATGCTAGGCCCATGTCCCACGTGCGAGAGAGACTCACCCCGAGGTTTCTTACAGCGAGCTAAACGCGAGGTAAACAGCGAGCAGAAATCGGGCAGGACGACGCGTCCTCAGTCAGTGTTTACGAGGCTATCGGACGAGTGCCTTGGCAAACGACGCTTATATCGCGCTACCGTAGGCTTGTAGAAAATTCAGTGCTCCCTCGAATAAAGCGGTTTCGATTGTGCGTGGATTTCGAATCAATTTACGTACTTAGCATATTCGTTCCTGTGAATTAAGTGCCGCTGCATACAAGAAGTTAGTGCACCGAATTCAAGTACACAACGAACAGCTCAGCTTGGGAGAAAAATCAAACGAGAAGCATGTCTCTGCGAGCTACGCAGCTACAGTCTCACGGTATGTGTATGCGTGAATACGTACACAATCGAATGATTGAGTTAATTAAAAATAGAGAACCTACGTATAGCTAATTAGATCAATTACTGCAATAATTTCGTTTTATCGTATCCTAAGTTTATTTTTCTCGTAAGAAGATGTATTATAGCTATGAAACAACAACAAATCAGGTTTTTTGCTGTTGTCTCCCCGAGATATATACATACTCTATCCTTTTCTGGAAAAACACTGTCTCTTAGTAAACAACTAAGTCTTTACACACGACCTACTTCGTTTGTCATTATTCTAACGACAATATACGACAATTGACACGCAGTACAGGTGATCAGACTTCATTTTTTCGTAAAACCGGGGGATGGTTCCCAACTACGCGGATTTCCATTTACGCGGACAGTCGACCTCTCTAAACCTACGCGTAGTTCGACAGAACACTGCATACATATACATATATGTTTAGACTGATATGTGAGGGCATACTTTTTTCTCTGCCTTTCATAGGATACACAGTTAGAGTCTTACTTTTTTATTGTATTCCTGTCATGACGATTATTTTATTATATTTACGATAGTTTATTATAACTTTATACATATACATATATGTTTAGACTGATATGTGAGGGCATACTTTTTTCTCTGCCTTTCATAGGATACACAGTTAAGAAATGCAAATTCTGTTAGAGTCTTACTTTTTTATCGTATTCCTGTCATGACGATTATTTTATTATATTTACGATAGTTTATTATAACTTTTATCACTTCGAGATTGGTTTCTGATTGCTTAGAATATAAGCATCATGTCCTCATAGAATTCCTTGTTTCGATTAATTTGTCATTAATTATTTTTCATTATTTTTCGTTTTTATTTAACACTAATGTACAACAATCTTTGTAAATAATACTCAATATGAGTTTCTAAGTGGTTAATTTACGAACAGACCATCATCGGAAGAAAACAAGACGGAATATTAAGGTACAAGTATGGTCATACTCTTACCTTGAACCGCATTTCTCATAACTTTCCCATCATTTCCGGGAAAAATAACAATTACATTTTTCGTTCCTTAGAATGCGTAGAATCATGCTGTAAAAAAATTTTTCGTTCCAGCCGTATGCCAAAATTGACCTTTTCTTAGCATCCTCCTTTTCCATCGCGACTGAATAAACATTGGAGAGTGTCAGAGAGAAATCCATGGTGTGTAGAAGTGGCGATGAATTTTTTAAGTGTAGCCGCTGGCTGACGATTTAGGGATAAACTGTCGATGGAATGGTAAGCCGTAAGCCCGTGACAGTAAGTCTCGATGTAAACTGCTGGTTGCGGAAGGAGAGAGACGAATCCTGTTAAGAGTCTTCCGAAATATTTCGTAAGTTAAGCAGTGGAAAGGTAAGAAATGTCCGAGATTCTCGTTTGTTTCGTGCTGAATGTCGGTTTTAGTATTGGCTGTTTGTACAATAGGAACGAGATATATTATGTCGAGAGGAGTGAGGAAGTGAAATATCTCTTCTTTGGTGGATTCGTGGTTGCGGTAATTTTGTGTCTTCTTTTTTCTCCAAGTATATAACTTAACATCGCTATGAAGCTTTCTATTATTAGTATAATTAACTGCGACACGCCAGCTTGCTATTTAGGTCGCACATTTATACGTCCATATTTCCAGCTATTCCTAGAATTTGTGTATTAGGAAACGTACGCTTTGAGAGCGCTGAGTTTCTCTAAAGAGATTACTTGACACTTCCTTATAGTTAACTTCTACAGTGGTTCTGTTATTTTATTTTTCTTGTAAGTTTGTGTGACACTATAAGTTTAGTGTTAAATAAAAATTTAATTCATCTAGGAAGAATAGAGCTCCATTTAATTATCTCTTCTTTGGTCTATTCATAAACTATCTTCTCTTTTCTTTTCCTTTTAATTTTACATGGAATTACTCATTTACTGTTAAATAAAAATTCAATTAAATTAATTGTCAAACAATAACTCTAGGAAGAATAGAGTTCCATTTAATTATCTCTCTGTTGCTCTATTCATAAACTTCCTTTTCTTTCAGTTTTCTTCTTCCAATTTTTATATGGACCTACTCGTTCTCAGTTAAATAAAAATTTAATTAAATTAGTCAGCAAATAATGTTTCATTTAATTATCCCTCCTTCGCTCTATGCAATAATTTCTTACATCAACCTTTTCATCGAATTCTTCCTAAATCTTCCATCCCCTTTCTTCTTCAAATCCCACACCAAAATTCATTTATTACAAACTAATCACCGAACAATAAATCCAAGAAGCCCCACCCAATAATCTCTACCTAGCTCTATTCAAATTAACCAAACACACTAACCCAAAACACAGCTTCCCAGCTCGCAGTGCCAAGTTTCCCAACTCCTTGTCGTCTTATTAACCCGCAAAAAGCCGAATATTAAGGCGCAAGAAACGATATTCTTGGCATGATCGCGTAACCGTTTGCTAAGTGACACGCGATAAGTCGTGATCGGTTTAGCTTAAGTCTCCTTTATCTCTTGATGCCATTACCAGCTCTCTCTCTCCCTCTGCACCGATCTCGGTCCGAATCGTACAAGTATCCGTCTGGATGCATCGATCAACGTGACACGATTACTGTCACGAGACACACAAATCACCCTGTTCGACACCCAAAGGACACTCTCTCTCTCTAAGCTTGGACCTTGACTTGGTGTTACTCACCTACGATCCGATAAACCGAACAGAAGACCACGGTCATCACGACGAACCACGTGTTCCAGTAATGACGATTGTTCACAGTGGCGACACCGAGGAACATGAATATGATGGTCTCCGAGCTGCTCGACAACATTTTCATCGTGTATTTCACGGTGGTGTGCGACTTGTGCGAGATATTCGCCTCGACGTAATTCTTCATAGTGATGCCGCAGAAGGTGATCCTGCAACAAAAAGGTCACGGCTAATCGACGGGGTCGTAGCGAGGGAACAGAACAGAAGTGGGAGGGAATGGGGGAGTGAACGCGACGGGTGGTGGGTTTGAAACACGCGTATCGATCGCTAAGGTAACCAACAGCCAGGTTACACTGTAACGTCCGTCGAAATTAATTCGAAACGTAGCCTGCGATCGGGACGTTTACGAAATCGACGAGGTTCACGGGGCAACGACGTCGGTCGCGATTCGATTTACGACAGGAACGTGACCGTCGCGGCTACCATCGGTTCTCCACCGTTGCAAATTCGCGCACACGTCTGTCTGGTCGTACGGCCTTCGTTTCCGGCTGCTTTACGATCTATAGATCTCTCTCGCGCGCGTTTCTGTACCGTGATTCGCGCTGGTTCTCGGTTTACGAGTGAAACGCGGGGGAAGGGGACAGAGGTACTTTAAATTTTAATCGACGTTTCGAGAGTTTCGAAACCGGCAGAATAGGGGAATCGATGCGAGAGGATTGAGAAATTGGATCGAAGAGCGGGGGAGGGATGATCGGTATTTGGTAGGGAATTAATGGTTGCTGCGACCTGATGAGGAGGCAACGAAGTCTCGGTTCGGCGGATTATAGTAATAAACAACTTAGTCAGATTTGGCCGCCAGACCGAGGTGCCGACGTTCGGAAGGCAGTCAGACAATAGGTCCCAAAAACACTCGGGACCATAAAACATTCGTTACCGGGGATCGAATTTGTTTGCAACTTTGGAAGTGACGTGGTGCAAATGATTACTCGCAAAGTGGGTAACGAAAATATATTTATTTAAACGTAATGCTTAAACTAATTTCAAATGTAAACTACATGATGCGCGTAGAAAGGAAGTCTACGACCAAAGGCCTCCTCGTGCCTTTTTCGGGGCTCCCTGGGAAAGCCCCAGGAAGTGGGGGCGCGGGCCTGCATTGCCGAGGCGATACTCTTGCCCTCGAGGACGAAGAAACTCGGAGATGTTTGGAAAAACATCTCTCGATTCTTCGCCTCGAGGGCCAAGAGTCGCCAGGCCTCAGTGCGTGGTCCCCCTCGTGGCGGTCGCCACACAACAAATTCGGTCTCCCAAAAGGTCACAGTTTTCGTCGACCAATAGCAGAACACACCACGTTTTCCACCTCCATAACACAACCACCAATCAGAACCAACCTAATGCCTACATGACATCTACACACCTGAAAACCGGCAGTCACAGTAAAACGAGTGCACGAGACACATCGTCAAAAAGAAGAATAACCGAATTTCAACAACCAAGTTTCGATACACCTCGAACCAGCGAGAACTATCATCAACCTGTGCTAGAACTCCTGGTCATAAGACTTGATCAAAGTCCACGACGCAACAATGGTGTTTGGTATTTTTCGAGTGTCGCATCGATTAACTCTTTGAGGCTGATAGAGTCATTGTATGAGTTTGCAAAATTGTAACCAATAACTTTGATCAAAGTCCACGACATCGATTAACTCTTTGAGGCTGATAGAGTCATTGTATGAGTTTGCAAAATTGTAACCAATAACTCAGAAAAATAGTTGGCTTTGGCATAAACTCGTATACTTATATTTTAGGCAGATAGAATTTTGAAATGGTTCGACTTGGAAAGAAATTCGAATAGTGACCTAGTTATACGTTCACGTAGTAATCAGTATCTCAATACGGCATGTAGTCCTCCGTCCTCAAAGGGTTGAAATTAAAGGGAAAGTGGTTGGTAAATGTCGTTACCAGGTTGCTTACTATTTTTTAAATATTACACGTGTTCACTGATGATATCTACTTCGATTAGTGAAATTAATTAATAAAGCCTGTCGAATGCAATTGTTATAGGAGGAGTGAGATCGGTAAGCTGGGAGAAATGATCGGTATTGGTAAAGAAATTAATCTTGTTGTTAGGTTATTTGTTATTTTCTAAATGTCGCATCTGTTAACTGACGATATTATAATAAAAAATCGCACTCGATACGCGTTGAATTGAAGGAACAATGATCGGTAAATATTGTCATCCCATTGTTTCTCATTCAAAATTAAAAGAATCGTTATCCGATTGTTTATTTTCTAAAAGTCACGCCTGTCAACTAATAATACTTCGCTTAAAATTCTACTCGATATGCATCAAATTGAAGAAAGAATAATCGGTAGATATTGTCACCCGATCGTTTGTTATTCAAAATTAAAAGAATTAAAAGAAAAACGATTCCCAAATATTGTCACCAGATTCTCCACTATTTTCTAACAATTACAACCGTTAACCGATGATATTTGAATAAAATATTGCACTCGATAAGTTGAAAAACCGAACCCCGGAATTCGATCCTCTTTCTATTTACCGATCCACATCGATTTCAACCTCGCTGTATAAATACCCGTACATCTTAAATGTTCTAAATAAACAATAGCCGTCGGATTCGTTAAAGCCCTGTCACTGCCACCGGGCATGTATTCGAAACCGGTCTGTTTGTCAATCAAATACAGCGGAAGCTTTCTGTTTAATCGTATAAATAAAAATCGCGGGCTGCAGCAAGAACTAGCGATTACGGGTTAAGCATATTTGAACAGTTATTACATGGGGCATACTTTGCATCGGGATCGATCATCGTCGTTACCGACTTTCCCGGCAAACGTGTAAATAATAGACTTAACGAGAATCATCGCCGACATCGTGAAGCTTCTGAAGGATTTACACTAGACTTTCCAACTATTTTCGATTTTGCACGAATGTGTATCGTCCAAGGAATTATCGCGATCCTGAGCGGAAGTCGTCTGTTTTTGAGTTTTTTTCTGGTTTTAAGGGGATACGTTAAGGAGATTCGATAATAAAACACTCGAAATTTTAGTTGGTCGCTTAAATCTATCACTACTGTTGGAGGTTAGACGATTTGGAAATTTTCTCTGTAGGCGCTTTTGAATATTTTCTTTCACTGTGCTCTTGGCACCTTTCGACACATTTTTATGTTCATTTTGTTGGATTATAAAGAGAAATGAGTATGTGTCTGTGTAATAGTAACGGCAAAAATAATCAACATACTGAGACAGATTAATATAAATATATATATAGAAATAACATAGTAACCATCTGTTTAGTATGGGTGACGCTGATATGTTTTTTTTTTCTCTCAGTGTCTTGTCTATGTTTGTTTGATCGCATAGCGACGTGCCTTCCTCGCGTATCAGAATAAAGAAGATTTATAATTAAAACAATATCTTTTATTTATTACCATAATTCTAACACATTTAATCTATAATTTTGGCCCTTTGCTTACTTTCACCGTAACTTAATAAAAGCAATTTAAATTCGGTAAATCTTAAATTTGGATCAGTTTAAACTTTAGTGAATAAAAATTTCAAGTCGATAAATCTTAAATTTGGATAAATTTAAATTTTAGTCCATCAAAATTTCAAGTCGATAAATTTAAATTTTAGTCGATGAAAATTCGAATTGAAAATTTTCTAAATTTAGAAGCGCCGAAACGAAAGATTTTCAAGTCAGAATCGAAGATCTATCGTCCGCCACGTGCGTCGCGTACGAAAATCTGTCGCAGCGAAACGGTTAATAAACAGTTGCGCGTTTTAGTTGGAAACGAGTACTCGATCAATTGTCGCGTTACACACGGCGAGGAGACATGCACATTTTCGACGAGTATAGACGTAACGATTCGCGTGAGAACCGGCGAGGTCCGTTTTGGAATTTATTGCTGGGTCGAGCGTGTCGAGAAATGAGCTGTGCTCGTGCCGCAAATTTCTAGGTCGCTCTGTCCACGTGCAGGCAATTTCGCTTTGTTGATGTAAACAAGGGAAATACATATAACAGACGAATCTGAATATATTCTCCGATAAATTCATTTTCGGGGATCTTATAGTGCCTTATTAATAGAACACCCGTTGGTAGTTTTGTTTAGCTTCGTTAAAGATCGCCGAGCGTATAATTCTAATCTAATATTAACGCGATCGTGCAGTATTAATGCGGAATTATTAATTGTCAAATTGATAGCGCGGCTAATTACCGTGTATCAACGTGAAACCGTGGATTAATATAATTTGCAATCTGTCTAGAAAAAAGTTCATTTCCAATCGAATCGTACAGAAACTATTACACGATTCAAATTACATTCCTTTGCTGAAGTTAGTATCACACTGTTGTCACAGTTTCCAACGTGTTTTCTCATAAGTGATAAATATTTGAGTAAAATAGAAAAGGACAAAGTTTCGTTAGTTTTCATACATAACAAGATGACTTAAATAAATTTTCCTAATTTCCCAAGAATTAGTATCACACCATTAATATAGTTTCCAGCGTTTCTCTCATAAGCGATAAATATTTGAGTAAAATACAAAAAAGACAAAGTTTAATTATTTTTCGTGCGCAATACAAATTTCCCAAGAGCACCTCGAATTTTCTCACGATCCAAATAATTTTGCAATAACTATATTTACCCTTGCTTCGTTCCCAATAAATATCCCAACGCTCACGAACAAGCTTCTCCACAAAGTGAATCTCCATTTCCTCAATTACCAAGAACCCCAAAATCCTCAATGCTAACTCCAACCCCTCTCCCCAAAAAATCCTGTCTCAATTCCCTCAGAAAAATCGCGGTAATTCTACCCTTCCAAAAACGAACAAACATCCTCCCTCGAGGTAACTCTTATCGCACCAATAAATTTCCACCGTGTCTCCTCTCTTAGATCTACCTCGGAAGGTGTCTCGATCACGCGAACAATCGTCGTTCTCCCACCTTCTCCGCGAATGCTCGAACAAAGAGATTAGAGTCTACTTACGCGAGTATACTGGACATGTGAAAAATCTCGGCGTTCAGGTAGGCCAGGTAGGCCATGACGAATATGAAGATCGGCTCGATCACGCGAACCTGGTGTGTGAACCTGGTAACGAAACCGGTGGCGAATCCCCATATCACGCCGATTATCGTTCCGCCGATCGCCACGACGAAGAACGACGCCAGGCCTGACAGCACGTCCGTGTAAAGTATTTCCGTCGGTCCTATCTCGCTGTACGCCTCGAACATATGGTACAGCACCTGCGTGTCATTCAACAACCACCGTTTCACTCGCATACTGTTTCGCCGATTAAGAAATTCCGCGCGAAGGGATTAGGATTCTCCGGAGTCTAAGTGGGAAAATGGGACAGGGGGCCAGAAGTCGGGCAAGTTTTAATTGTGTAGCTACTTGCTGTCTCGAGATTCGACTTCCGGGGACTTTGGTGGCAAGTAGACCGATTAACCTTCAGTTTTCCTTATCGATATCGCCCGGAAGGATTGTTATTAGGACACATTTAGATTGGTAATTATGGAAGTTCGAGAGTGTGCGTTAAATGGTAGGGAGGAATGAAAGTTTCGGGACTGTCGGTAAATGGAATTATTCTGAGTTTGGTTTGGATTGTTTAGGGAACGTGATTGTTCAATTAGGATTAATAGAGTTGGAGTGGTATCGGGGATGAAATTTAGGGGAGATATTTTTGGAATATTGTTTTAAATAATAGATAGTGTATGGGTTAGATAGAATGCTATTCTGAGGAATGAAATTATAACGAAATTTTGGTAGCTTTGTTCTGATAATCTGAAGTGTGAAATGAAATATTTGAATTATGTATTTCAAGTGTTTTTTGATAATGAAAATAAGTGGAGAAGTGATATGACATAGATAACGATAATATTTGACAAAGTAAATTTATTTTTAGTTGAAGTACGATTATTCGTAAGTATCTGTGCATTGTTGGAAATTTTCATCGTTTAATTACGAATAAATTGAAAATAAATTGAAACAGTCTGCGAATTAATGCGGAAACGAATTGCCATCTTCGTATCGCGTCGTGTTTTGTTCATTTTGCAGCAATTTAAATTGGATATTCAGCAGTTTGAAATGTTTAGGGGATCTTTGTATGATAAAAGGAAGCATTGAAATTTTACTAAGTGGAACGTATTTAGAGACGTTAAGTCTCTGAATTTATACAGAAGCGATACTTACGACGGTGACAGCGTCGTTCAACAAACTCTCGCCGAACACGACGATGTACAGGATCTCGTTCACGTGAATTTCCTCGAAGACGGCTAGCACAGCGACAGGATCTACGGCGCTGATCAACGCGGAGAAAAGAAACATTTGCAGGAGTGGCGTATCGAAGCCGAACAGACCGCTCTTACCTAACACCCACAACGAAGCGCCTATAAACAGTTCACGATGGTAAAACAAGGTATTAACAATGTTAGGTCAATATATTAACCCTTTCGCCGCGACAGATTTCGGTACGATGATCGATAGTATTTCGATCGATCGAAAATTTTGCAAAGATTGAAAAACTGTCTGTCGATCGAAAATCGAAAATCTTTCGTTTCGGCGCTTTAAAATTTTGCGAAAGTTTAAAAATCATCGATCGATCGAAAATCTTTCGTTTCGGCGCTTTAAAATTTTGCGAAAATTTAAAAATTATTGATCGATCGAAGATCTTTCGTTTCGGCGCTTTAAAATTTTGCGAAAATTTAAAAATTATTGATCGATCGAAGATCTTTCGTTTCGGCGCTTTAAAATTTTGCGAAAGTTTAAAAATCATCGATCGATCGAAAATCTTTCGTTTCGGCGCTTTAAAATTTTGCGAAAATTTAAAAATCATCGATCGAGGCCCCAAAATTTTTCGCTTTGGCGCTTTGAAATTTTTCTATAACTTAAAAATTTCTATTTTAAATTTTGGCGTTTTTAAATTTTGCAAAAATTTACAAATTTTAATTTTAAATTCATCGTTTAAACACGACAATTTAGAAATTAATTTAAAAATTGGGGCGGAAGTAGGCACCGGACAAAAATTAAGGCGAAAGTGTGTGAAAAGGCGCCAAGAAAGCGCGAGAAAATATTCAAATCTCCAATAGGCGTCGAGATCACAGTAGGAGCGAATTTTCAAGCAGCAGTGAAAGGGTTAATATACCTTAAAATTCGATTGCAACGCAAGTATACAGAATATCGAAAATGCAAGTAAATAGAATTTCAGTAAAACAACTTTTCTTGTCAAAAAATGTACGAAAGATGTAAGTTGCTATTATAAATGAATACAGCAATTCTTTCACAGATCTGTTAATCTCCCTCGATCATAAATAATTCTAATTACTTCCTCCAGTTAATTAAACACGAGTTTCATCTCGGAGAAGATTGAATTTTAAAAATTGAACAGGAAGCTAATACGATTTGGTCCAGAGGCAGATATGAACCTTTTCATTCTTTAAACGTTTTCATAGCACAAAAAAAAAAGACTCTTTCATATAGTATACATATATGCGTCCACGTTTCTTTTTCAAATGGAAAATATGATACGTAATAATCCACACGATCTTCCATGATATACACAGTGGTGAAATTTCTCCAAATATTCGAATTCGATTAGATTTCGTCGAACAAGTATTCTCAATTAATTTTTTTATCTTCATCTTGCAATATATAATTCAATTCAATCCTGAACGATAATTCTACTGTGCATCATTTAAATACCCTGATACGATACATTTGCCAATTTGATTTGTGGAAATTTCTGAGCCCGATCTTCTATAAAATACTAAATATTTCTTCCCCTTATTCCAAAGAAATATTCCATTTCTCTATTTTCCTCCGGAACTGTAATTCTATTTATTCTACCATGCATCGTTGAAATCTACCAACGCATTTGTCAACTCGATTCGCGGAAATTTCTGAGTCGTCCGATTAATTGGTAATTCACTGTAAAAACTGCTCACCCTGAAATCCTTCGATCTACGAAGGTGCGCGCGCTCGTTACACGTTAGCCGATGTTCATATCACCGATAATAATAACGGAAACGCGTCATTTGTTACGCGCGATGTCGCTTTCTCGTTGCGTCTTTAATTATAACAAGCACCGTCCTATACACTGTTCTACGGTGGAAAATCCGTGGACGTTTCGTAACGGCGAAACGACGATGAGCACGCTGAACCGTAAACAGAAATCGCGTGGGCGGTTCGACGTCCGCGCGTTTTCACTCTCGGCCACGCTTAGGCGCCCGCGCGTGTTCCTATGTACAGGGTGATTGCGAAACGCGGGGCTGAAATATGAGGAAAAGGTCCACGACGCGTGTGTGCCGAACCGGGAAACCCGGAAATGTACTCTGCGTTATGCAAGAGTAATATTGAGAATGTTGGGATTCGTTTGATACCTTAATTTTGGATTTTAAAAGTTTCCATCGTACTTCCTCTTTTTTTTTTTTGGAGGTTACGTGTTTGGTTTTTGTTGTTTTTGTAATTAGTCTTCGTAGGGATACTAATAGGGGTTATCGTAAATACCAAATTTTAAAAAGAAAAGTGTTATGAATTTGGAAGCGATGGAAACTTTTGCGTAGATCTAATTTATTTATTTTGTAAAATAGTTACGATTGTTTTTATATTTTTCTCAATGTCAACATTGAATTAACTGTAGCGCTATCGTAAATACCAGATGTGAGAATTTAAATAAGAAAAGTGTGTTATCGATTTGGAAGCGATGGAAACTTTTGTTGTAAAACGATTAATTTTATATTCTTTTTTTTAATGTGAATACTCTTTGTGCAAAAATTGTTGACTGAGTTTCAAAATTGGCAAGCCGAATAATCAATGGCCAGAAATGTAGACTTTGTATTAAAATACACTTCTAAATTCGAGGGAATTGTCAAACTGATCTACAAGTTGGAAGAACGTCAATTGGATGGAATTATTTGTGGTCGTTGAACGTCTTCGGCTAAGTTTAGAGATCAGATTTATCGAGATTTTTATGAATATTTATGTATCCCCGCTGGTAATATACGCTACCTGCCAGAACTTCGGAATCACCTGCCAATTTACATCAATATCGAAACTGCTATTAACTCTTCGTAAATTCGAAATTGACGTTGCGGAGGTCAATAGCAATTTACTTCGTTTCGATTTGATTCGAATGATAACAAATTCTCGAAATTGCTAAACTTTGCGATACACGGTGATCCCGAATTTTCCAAGATTAGATCCCTCTGTAATCAAATATTTTCGACTTTTCAACTTCGTTTCAACTAAGAAATTTTCTCGAGTTGGAAAAACTGAAATATCATCGACTTGTACGTTCTCTCCGTCGATTTCTCCGAGCATTACTTGAAGTGAGTTTAGCGTCTAACGAAGAGCGAATCTGTTCTTCCATTATGAGGACTAATTAGCTGTGTAAAGTGCCCTTGCACGGTCTTACAGCGTCAAAGGACGTTTATAACTCGCGAAAGATGTCTTTCCAGGCTCGCATCAATAATCTCTTAAACAGTCTCTGCCCACCTACTACTTCACTATCACTCTTTGCTCCCTCTTGGTCGTGCATCTGTTACCAAACGTACCGTAAAAAAAGAACTGGAAACAAGACGGCGGAAGATATAACCGAAGCGATAAACGAGGAAACAAAATTACGACCGAAAGGATATTTCATACGAAGTAGTCGAATTTGTCCTCGGACGTTGGAACGGAGGATGAAAATTTACGTTCTTTCCATGAATTCGCTAAAAACCAAGAAATACAAGAAATTGCTTTCCATTAGGAAGGACCATTCATCTCCGTTTACACTTAAGAAACACCCACCCTGGCAATCTCCTCAATTTGCCCGCCTACTTCGCAATCATCCTGTATACAGATCCACGACCGAACGTAAATAAAAGATCGCGGAGATCGTAAATCAAGTCAACCGAAAAGCCACTTTAACGCGGAAGAAAATCTCGCGGAAAAAAAAGAAAAGAAAAAATGCCGAAGGGAGCGAGATAAAGTACGGGGAACACTCCCCGTGGTTCTGGGCGTCGTTAACGCGTTCAATTTTACCAACCTATCGACAAAGTGTTAAATATAGTCCCGAGGACGGCGAACAGAAGTATCGTCCCCAGGTGGTCGAAGAACAGTCGGTTCGGCATGAAGTAGCCAGCGTCCAGGATAATGGGCGGCAACATGTAGAGGAAGAACGTGTCCGGCGTTAACGGCGACACGTGGACGCTGCTCGCGTGGAACAGTAAGACACCAACGACAACGCCGACAACAATCAGCAAACAGGACTCCGGAAAGATCTTGCTGAGCTTCGGCGCCATGTGAAAGCCTGTGTGCATATATAATCGTAACTTAACACACAGAGACAGAGTCTCGAGACACGTCGTTGGAACGGAAAAGAAGGAAAAAGGGAGAAGAAAGGAAGCGTGGTGAGAACCTTTTCGTTGGCCAGGCTGCACACCCGGCACAGCATGCAAACAATTGTTCCATTATTAACCCTCGTTCGGCGAACGCACACGCTGCGCGTTTGGGCCACTTTTAAACCGCCTGTTGCAACGTGAAATTGGTCAGCTTGCTTCGTTTCTGGTTGTTAACGAGGACAGTTGGAAATTTCGCTGATGGATTAATATACCGTCGACAGTGTCAGTTTTGCAATCTGGCGATTTATGTATACACGTGTGTGTTGTATTTTTAAAAACTTTTTTTTTTTTTTTTCGATGGATCAGATGGACGATTTTTGACGACGTACTCTGGGGTTTGGAATTGAGCGATTTTAGCGGTTGTAACTTTTTTCCTAGGCGGTATCTAGCGCAGTAAAGAGGAGTAGGCCTTTTATTCTTGTGAAAAATATGGAATCTATAAAAAGCTTTACGATACGAGTATAGTACTTGACGAGCACGTTGCAAACGCGATCGATGCTACTGAGAAACAAGTAGAACCTCTATTATCCGAGCCTCCAGTTTGTGGATGTTCCATTAAGTTCTCTGAACACTCTATTATCTGTACCGTTGTATTCTGTCCCCTTTCGAAATGGAAACATTCTACATGGACTCGATGATAGTGCTTTCTAACACGGTGTATAGCTATTTATACAGTTTAACACAAACCTAATATCCCGGCCATTTGTGTAACTCTCTAACGTCCAGGGATTAGCATCTAATGGATAGAAATAAAGGGCCAGAGAATCGAGCAATTTAATAGCAATTCTGGCGAATTTAGTCACCGATTGCCTAATCGTAATTATTTTTAATAACCCAACGCGAAAAAGTGTGTATGTATGTATTATTGGAAGAAAGAAGAAGCGACAGAAATATCTGAGCAATCTTGGACCGAAATAAAATCGATTCGTACGGAAGAAGCGAGTGAAAATAAACAGAGTGATCTAGGACCAAAATATAAAATACGAAATTTATTCCCAGTAGGTCTAGTTCTCTAGAAACGATAGCAAGCGAACCACAATTTCATCCACGTTTTATAAATACAAAAGCTCATGCAGAGAGGTGTATACAGGTTCAGACGAATGTTTCAGTCTCAACACCAGTCTATTTCAAACTTAATCTACGCTCCATCGAACAGCCTTTCATCTATCGTAACAAGCTACTCTACATAACTCCAAAGACATCACAGCGAAACTTTCATCACAGACCAAAATTGACTCTCCACCGAGAGGTTCGCCGAACGAGGGGTAACAAGTCAACATAGTTCTCCGATCCTCCCACGCGACAGAATCCACAAGCAGTGTCTCCCAACAGAGACCAAACTAACATCCGAACTGCTTCAAATTCGACGTCTAAATAATTCCCTACCTATTTTCGCGATGCTGGCGAAGAAGATCCATATACCGATCACGAATGGCGTCTCGACGCGATGAAACTCCACGGACATGATCTTGTACTCCGGTTTCGCGCGCTCCGTGTTCCCATCTTCGATCGAATGAGACGCCATGTGCTCTATTGTGCCAGCTCCTTTGCCCTGTGCAGGTGACAAGCTTCGAAACGACACGTCGTCGGGCAACGATCCGTCGATGGGACCCATAGGACCGAAACTTTTGCCCGGATAAGGTTCCCTTAGATCACGAGGGAACTCCTGATCGTCGACGTTCGGTCCGTGTATCGTGTAGTCGTCGATCGGAATCCTTCTGTCCGGTTGGATATTCTCAGGTACGGACTCGTAGAACTTGAGCAGACCTGCCTGGCTGTGTGACGGCCAGCAGGCGAACAGAAGGATCAACGAGAGTGCGATCATCGTCGAGGAAACGACGACACGTGGAGCCATGAAGACGTTACTCGGCAACGACGACGTCGATGCTGTTCACGGGGACCGCGCTGGTTGTTCGCGCTCGTCCTCCGATGCTGAGTCACCCTCAGTACCATCAGAAGGGAGCTCCAGCCACGAGGAACCTGCTGCAGCCTGAGTGGCTCTCCTGCTGTTTAGAGGGATCCTTCACCCTTCTCGTCTTCTCTCTGCACGCTAGCTCTGTTCCACCAGACGATTGTTGTCCTTAGAGAGGATTTCTAGAGTATGTTTGGTTACGTTGGAACAATTCGATCAAGGATCTAGCCTTTTGTTTTCTATCACACGTGGAAGACGATCGTTTTCACGGATTAGTACAGTACAGAAGTTACTCTACAACGCGATACACAGTGTTTGTTATTGCTCTTGTGGCAGGTATTTACACTCGGTTTCTCCAGTCTCTCTCTCTCTCTCTCTCTCTCTCACGTCACTGTTACATTTGCGATAGGAACTACAACTTGTCGGTGAACAGTTTCTTCGTCTCTTGCGATCACTGGCGGAAAATTCTTGGAACACCGAGGAATTCGAGGTATCGATTCACAGACACGGCGGAGATCCTGCTGGCGAGGTGAAGAACACACGTTTCCGTCCACCGCTTCGATTCTCCTCCGTGTGTCGCCTCGTTCGGCTTCTATATTTGTATCCTGGCCTGGTGTGCGAGTGCTTTCTCGTCGGCCAATCGAGTATCAGAGCCGATTTTCCTGTGTCAACGAACTCCACCGAGGGGAGAGACAGGTGACGACGACCTAGGTGGGCGACCAAAATCGAGATCCATTTTTGGTGTCGGTTGGACAAAAGTGAGAGACGCGCGCTGCGCTTTGGGGAATGCGCGGGCAATTTGTTTTGATACTTACCGCGACGCCCGTTTCACGCTACTTCTTCCCAGCGAGCGTGGCTTCTATCCGGGCTCTTTATTGGCCGGTTATCGACGAACAAGCGAATCCTCGTGGTACGCAGCTGCAACAAGAACCAGACCGGAGGAGATGACAAACTACACTCGGGTCGGCTTTTATCAAGCCTTCATTTCCAACAACGTCACGTTTGCGTTCTTCTCCGGCGACAATAAACTACCTCGCGATTACTATCGATCTTCTACACACAGAGATTACCGTAATCACAGTTGAAACAAACACGTCTGATAAGAAATGCACCAGAGACGTCTCTCCTCGATCTTTCCCTCGATTTTCCTCTTTCACAGATCCTTGGACGATCTCGCAGAGATTGCGTCGAGTTAATCTAGCAGAGATCGAGCTCGGCGAGACGCGCAAGCGAGAAACCGAGAGGACAGGTCAATCGTTGGTCCAAACTACTAGTTCCAAGCGTCAGCTAGCTTCAGGAAGCTTCACGCTGGCACACGACGGTACACGATCATCCTGAAGCTGTGACAGGTCTTCGAGGTGGAGAGAGAAACGGATCCTGAACGACGACGTGGCGGCCAGGTAGTCGATGCATCATCGTGAAGTCGTTAAAATGGAAGTTGCGTAGCCATACGTTCCCAGGTTTCAGCGGTGCGCTTCGATCGACCGTCACGGCAGCACTGCGCGAACCGAAACGTCGACACGCGCGCCGGCTCGCAAGCTACGTCAACGTCGACGTCGTGCACACGATAAACACCATTGCCACGAGCAGGCAGCGGGATCAGGCGGCTAAGGGCACCAGAAACGCTGCCAAAAACGTGCGTAGCTGTCCGACGAGGTCACCCTCGACGTCGCTACTGAATACTCTCGATGGACGTACCGCTTTCTTTCCTTCTCTCTTCAACGTCTAGATCCCTCTGCTTCTCTCTCTCTCTCTCTCTCTCTTGCTCCCTTTCTATCCACCCTAGTCTCGTCTCATTTCGACTCGTACCACTTTCACGAGTCTGTCTTCGTCGGATACAGCAGTTCTCCTCGCCCCTCGTATACGACGCTACCTTCCAGCCAGCTGATCGTTGCGGGAACCCGCGCAGGCGTCGCGACGCCTCGATATAGTCTAACGCGACGTCGCTGGGTGTGCATGCACGCGCACACGGCAGCCTTCGAAGGTTTGTTGTCGAACGTCCCGCCGCTCTGGAGTCGGCCACACGAATCGCGTTCGAATTGGAATTCTGTATGGTTGGAATGATCGAGAATCAGGCTGGATAAACTGGTATATTGGATGGCTCGTTGAATTGTGGTTGCACCTCTGTTTGTCGAGGACAGACACCGAATTTCGGGATTAGAATTCGGATTCTGTTGCCTGGAATCACTGTGTTTTTTCTGTCGTTTTATTTGTTGTTGTTTTGTCGGCTATATACGGTAGTTATGTGGAGTAGACATTTTTTTTTCATTTTTGTTGCTGGTTTCGGTTTGTGGAGATCGCGGGGTGTCGGTTCTTTCTCTTTTTTTTTTCGCGGTTGAAAGGTGTAGAGAGGGTAGGTCGGGTTGGTTATATCGACGTCACGGAATCCAATCGAAAGCGACCTTAGCATTTAAAGGAGAGAATGTAATGTAGGTTTCCACGAGTTTGTGTTTCAAGAGGACGATTTCTTTCGTTTTTCACCTTTTCCCCGGGTTTTTTAGATCTTGCTTCGCAGGCGAAACACGAGAATTTTTAACGATACGTATTGCGATACGTATCGCTTCTGCGGAATAGTTTTTAAGCACGAGAAAGTTCGCTTGCGTTAAATTATTTTTAACGTTCGTTCGGTTAATTGTGGAAATTTTCTCGACTTTCTATTTTGACTGTCGTTAAAGGTCCCTGGCGAGTCTTAAAATGATCAAACAGATCAATCTCTGGTATTTATTATTTACTGGCAAATTTTTAAATAATTAAGCAAATAAATCACCGATACTTATTATTTCATTGACAAATCTTAAAATAATTAAGTAAATAAATCACCGATATTTATTATCTCACTCACAAATCTCAAAATAATTAATTAATTGTTTCTCTGACAGATCTTGAAATAACAGCGAAAGTGACGAACCGAATTTCTCTGTCCAATTTTGTCGCCCAAAATTCTCTCATTTTTTCCCGTTTTTCCTTCTGATTTCTCGATTTTCAAAAGTGACCTCAGGTATGTAGAACGGTTAGGTAGAGGTTCTATATCGAGTCACGGAATCCAAGCGAGAGCGACCTTAAACCAGCCGCGTCACGTCGCCGGATCTTGGAGACACCTTTACCCTTGACCTTGTCGCTGTTGCGCTAGCAAAATGCTCCGGTTGCCTCGACATTCAGCTCGCTACTTGCCAGCCTTTTCGATCATACACCGCGACCTACTGCTCGCTATCTTACCCTACTTACCTTTTTCTCCTTTCTTCCTTCACACGTGTCGCGTCTTCTCTCAGCACAGATGCGGCTGATCGGTTCACGAATATTCTACTCGCAGCTGAAATAAAGACGATCTACGTACATATATACATTTTTCCTCCCGGATCCATAAAACGGTAGAGAACCTCGATTTTTACATTGTTTCGTTCGATAACGACGCGATGATTAAACAGACACCGTTGATATAGAACAATGCTCGTTCGACGAGAACGATAATGGAAACTGTTAGTTATTCCTCGGAGATCTTTTCTCGTGGAAAAAAATCGGAGAACCGAATAACGAGGGAAACGGTGCAATTACTAGATGTAAGCTGCCGTTTCAATTATTCCTATATACGTATCAGAGGAAATCCGCGATAACGTTCTTTTTTCCCCCCTCTCGTTCCGGTGCTCTTTGATTTCCGGCTCGGACCTCTGCGAACGTAGACAATGGAAAACATTTGTTTCGTAGACGGTGAACGGCGATAGGTAGGTGTATAGGTGCGCGTCGATATCGTTTCTGTGCGTATCAGGACAAAGTAGTAATCTTTTTAGTTTCACTCGTGTTTGCCGAAGAGAGTAAATTCGAAGTGAAGTGTACTTTTGTTTCGAGAACGTTCAACGAGTATCGGTTATTGTTTACGCGTGTGTCGAGTAAATGTGACAAGACGGTGTTTTTCAGGAAGAAGCTTTACTCTTCTTTTTAGTTTTTTTTTTTATTCACGTTTAAATGCGATTAGGGAAATCATTTTTCGACACGTATGTTGAGCATGTTTTCGAATTGGATAGGATGTTACCATTTGGTATGCAAACAATTTTTGCGTGGATCCATTTCTTCGATGTACTGGAAATTCTGATGCAGCGAAAATGGAGCACATGTGTGCGGTAAATGTCAAACGTAGAGTGGCAGAGTTTGATTAATCATTTTGTATGTACTTTACGGAAATCTTGAATGTAGCGTTACCTTGAACTTCGTCCAAGTGTATCGTACTTCTTCTGTTGCGATGCAAAAATCACGGATCACTTTATTATCGTCTTAGGTCGCGAAACGTTTATAAATATCGCCGCCTCTGGACGAGTGAGTTAAAGACCGTGGAATGGAATCGATGGAACGCTCGATTCATAAAAATTTGGTCGCTGTGTCTATAGGGTGATTCATTAAACAGAGGTTGCTTTATTAAGTTTTATTAAATAGCTTTGAAATGGTGAATACAGTGTAGCAGACTATTTCAGACGTTTTAGAGTCACTATTGATCGAGATATCGAAGTCATTGAGTCGTTAACCTTAGTGAGCTTTTGCGTTCGATTATACATTTAAGGTCTTTGGGTCTTTTTTGACCCAAAGTGATCATTAACCTTAGTGAGGTTTGGGTCGTTTTTGACCCAAAAGTGATCATTAACCTTAGTGAATTTTTTTATTACACTTAAGGTCTTTGGGTCTTTTTTTGACTTAAAAGTGGTCTTTGGGTCTTCTTTAACCCAAAAGTGTGTCAAAAAAGACCGAAAGACCTTATCTGTAACGATTTTTATTACCATCACGCCGTATCAATCTAGTGTCGCCAATAAACTTGGAATACAATATTAAGGGAAGATAAACTTAATAAAAAACAAGTCGACAATAATTCAAAAAAGACCCAAAGACCGCATTAAAATTAAGATCATTTCCCGTCAACATACACGTTCACTTGAAATTTCCAATTTACTCCTCCTATTCCTTACACAACACATTACACTCCACCCAGAAATTCTTCCTCACAATTCCAACCCCCAAAA